GTGCAGTATTTATCATTAACTGTGTGCACTGGAAGGGTTGCCACCACCACCACCCCAAAAAATAATGGGAGGCACAACACACACACACCCTAAAAGACAAAAGGATGAGAAAGTGATGCCTGCAAACAAATTTATAAGTCATAATAGACCACACTTCCTGGCCTTCTACTATCCACAGAGGACAATGGCCTTAGCTAAAAGAAATATTTACATCTCGAGATTCAGAGGTTGGTATGGGAATGTTCTGATAAAACTTACCACAGCCTCCTGTGAGCTACAAGGTCACATTCCTAATCTCTCCGTTTGTGAAACAGTCCCATTCATTTGAAAGCTGTTTTTTTTTCCTCTCCAAAAGTACCATAAAGATGAAAGACACCTTCACTTGATGTAGTCGGAGATAGTAAAGCAGCAATAACAAAATAATATAAAACCAAATTGCAGTCAATTAAAGGGAGTCCCATCTCCTTTAATTACAGTACGTTTTACATTTATGTTTGATATACTGTCACCCTTTAATTATGTACCATAAAATCAAGAGAGGCCAGTCTAACCAAAATAAGATTGGAAAAGAGCTTTCCTAAGTAATGACGCGAAAGCGTCTGTTTTGGGGGGGATGAAGGGAGAAAAATCAGAAAAAGTGACTTGAAATTGAAATTAGAGATAGCTGCCTGGAATATTCTGGGATTTGAAATCCACACATCTTAAAATGGTTAAGATTGGGGGTCTCTGAGTCTAGTTTTGAATTCAGGGGAAAAAGTGGGGGGCTTATTTGGGTACGCCAATTATTTCTGCAAGATTTTCTGGGGAACTTACTTCGATCAGAGTGCTATGTTAGGGCCAACCACGGTTAAAGATTCTGGCTGATTTGGAAGCATGTTTTAAAATGAGTCAGCAACCCACAGCTGAAAAGAATTGGGTGAGGGATTAGCTTCTATTGTTTGTGACACCCCTGGACCCTCGGGGCACGGTCCTTGTTTCTGTTCTGTGCAGCTGCTTCAAAAGTACTATTCTCATTAAAAACATTAAGTGGAAAGTTGGTCAGGTGCAAAATACAATAACTTTATTGTCACTTTGAAGGCACGCTAATCGGCATACATTGAAATGACATTCTGCTGCATACAGCTCTCAAAGGGTCTCCACCTCTAATACACACGACATAAACACGACAAATAAATAAATACAAAGTTATGCCTATACCCACGTATATTCTATGTCGTGGAGAAACAACATAGTCTAATTCGGATGTCTACATGTATGTACATGGTGAGAAAAACGAATCTTGGGAGTTTACCAGACAGATGGCATATAGGGAACAAAGCTGTTTACAGAATCTGGTAGTCCTGCTGGAAAAACTTCGAAACCACCTCCCAGAAGTGGGGGCAGGAGATACAGAGAGAGAGAGAGAGAGAGTTAGACAGAGACAGAGAGACAGACAGAGTTAGACAGACAAAGACAGAGAGACATATAGAGAGACAGAGACAAAGAGAGACAGACAGAGACAAAGAGAGACAGAGAGAGACAGAATTAGACAGAGAGAGACAGACAGAGAGACACAGAAACAGACAGAGACAAAGAGACAGACAGAGAGAGTTAGATAGAGACAGACTTACAGAGAGGCAGAAAGAGACAGAGACACAGAAACAGAGAGAGACAGAGAGTTAGAGAGACAGACAGAGACAAAGACACAGAGAGAGAGAGAGAGAGAGAGACCATGGGACAATGCTTAACATTTTTCTTTTAATTAGTAATTTAGGGTAAATTTTAAACCTTTCATCCACATGTTCTTCCATTATATCCAAAGGTCCTCACTCACTGAACCATACAACGCTTTACGTATTCACTTTCCAAATTCAAATTCCTATAACATTTGATGGACTCTAAATTCTCAGCTCTGCTTTTCATTAAAACAAAAGCAAAAAAGCAACCTGACTCCCCTCTCTCAAACCCTGGTTCTTGGTTGCTGAAACCCTTTTCTGAAGACCTCAGAGAAGAGTAGGCAGAGAGAGGAACTCGAAGGGGCCTTGAAACTTGGAACTTTGGGGCTTGCACACATGCCTGACTCACGTAGCTGCTGCTTATGGGTTTCCTTCTTCCCAACCCTGCTGCCCCAAGATGGGTTGCGTAGTCATGAGCTGGCTGGGGCACGTGGCAGCTGCAGTTCCCCTCTGGGACATGTCAGGCTGGGGGAGAGCAGCCTAAACCGAAAAGGAGCTGCATCTGTCCAGCTGGGATTGGAAACTTGAGCTGAAACCCGAGAAAGAGGAGGCAGAGTGGGTGGTTGAGCTGCCTAAAAGATTTTGATTTCGGAGAACTTGTTTTTCCGCTCCTGTTCTCGGCGTTTGCATTCAGTCCACGCTTTTTGCATTTTCAGCCCACAACTTAGCCAAGGAGCAGCGGCTGAACTTTGGGGACGACATTCCAAGCGCCCTGCGCATCGCCAAGAAAAAGCGTTGGAATAACATTGAGGAGAAGCGGATCAACCAGGAGAACGAGTTGCACGCTTATCTCACCAAGCTCATCATGGCGGAGAAGGAGAGGTAGGCGGGGATGGGGGAGAGAGGAGCGGTGGGCCTGGATCAGCGGTGGGATTCAATTTTCTTAACAACCGGTTCTGTGGGTGTGGCTTAGGTGGTGGGCATGGCTTGGTGGTCATGTGACTGGGTGGGCGTGGCTTGGCGGTGATGTTATTGGCTGGGTCTGGCCAACTCAATATCACTCACATCGAGGCACGCATCTCCTCCCCTGGGCTCTCATGTCTGTGGGGATGCTGCAACAGTCGTAAGTGTGAAAAATGGTCATAAGTCATTTTTTCAGTGCCATTGTAACTTTGAATGGTCACTCCACACAAGCAAAGTACCAGCAAAGGAGGGGAAAAAAACTCCAGAGAAGTTCCTGAGACAGGAAGTCCAGTCCTGCCAAGAATGTAATAAGGGTTAACGGAGAGGCAGTTTCTGTAAGCAACACCAGAATGTTTCCTTCCTGCCTTCCTTATAGGATTAGGCCAGTAATTTCTTCTAACAACCAGTTCTCCGAACTGCTTAGAATGTTAACAACCGGTTCTAGTGAATAGGTGCGAACCGGTAGAATCCCACCCCTGGTCTGGATGGAAAGACTGGGAGAAGCATGGATCCAGTTCTGGATGGGAAAAGACCAGTGGTGGGATTCGATTTTTTTTAACTACTGGTTCTGTGGGCCTGGCTTGGTGGGCATAGCAGGGGAAGGTTACTGCAAAATCTCCATTCCCTCCCCACCCCACTTAACCTGCTTTCCAGCTCCGTTCTCCTGTGCAGGGCAACCAAATCAGCTGATCATCTGGGAATCAATGGGAGGCGGAGAATAGAGGGGGACGGGGCCAGTCAGAGGTGGGATTTGCCAGTTCTCCGAACCGCTCAAAATTTCCACTCCCGGTTCTCCAGAACTGGTCAGAACCTGCTGAATACCCACCTCTCTAGAAGACCTGCTGACCAATGATTCTTAAGGGAGACCTTCACCCTTTTCTTTTAGCCTGCCCCTCTCACAAAACTTTGTAAGGGAAGAGCAAGCAGAATTTGGGAGGCAGAGTTAAGCAAGTCATTGATACCACTGATAGGTTTACATTTTGTCTTACCGTTTTTTTTTCTGTCTTACTGCGATGACCCAGGGTGGGATACAAAATAAACACAGTCACAAAAAACAGGTGAAGCCCCTTTTATTCCTTTACTTTGCTTCAAAGCTCCAAATATCCTTGACTGGAGACAAAAAACTCCCACACATGCAGTTACAAGAAGGAGGAAATGCTGTTTAAATTATAAAGAGTAAAAAAACAACACAAACCAGGCAAGATAAGGGCCGGAGGACGTCCACAGATAACAGAACACACACTGGAAAGGACGCCAAACTCAGAGAGGAACAATAAACTAGAGATATTTCCACACTTTGTTTCCAGCACTCACCCGTATGCATGTCCGTCCTCTTATCCAGTTGTCACAGCTGCAGCCTATGAAGAGGATCAAGGCCCTCTCAGGCTTCATTAGAAAGCATAAAACACAGTCTTAGTCCCAGCAAAACCTCTTTTATTTCCATGGCACTGGAAATTATGTTCATTCCCAGCCGGAATGAATCTCAAACAGTCCCTTGAGATAAGCACCCACCTTTCTCTCCTTTGAATTGCTGCCAACAACAGTAGTGCCAAATGAACTATAGAGAAAACCAACCGAAGTACAAAGTCCACACAGAGCTTCAAGGTTCAATCTGAACCGAACAAACGACTTTGCTTCCTGCAAAGGTTTCTCTACCTTTGCCTGTCTTTTTTCCTTTATGGGAGGGGCAATCACCTCCCAGCCTTACTCCTGAGTCGCCCTTTTTGTTTCAGCTGCTCTCGCCTTCTAGCAGCTGCGCACATGCGCACTGGGAACAGGCTCCCCTGGGTCCTCTGCCTCGCTGCTGCCAGACTCCAGAGGCTCCAAAGGAAGCACCCCACTCCCAGATAGTCCTGGCCTCATCTCTGCATCGGATGCAGGACCCGTATCGGAGTCCTCTCCAGACTCCCTGACTGGTCCCCGTTTTCCCCCACTGTCTGATTCCGTTGCTATCTGCACAGGCTGCCAGTGAACCACAACATTGCTGCTGTCCGACTCTGCTGCCAGCGCCATCAGCCGTCGGTGGGCCACAACAGAAGGTTGCAAAACTCACATGATCCCGGGACACTGCCACCTTCATAAATACACCTCCTCCCCTTGCACCCTCCCCACACTTTGCTTCTCTTCCAGGGAGTTCGACGAATGCCAGCGGGCCCAGGAGCAGGAGAACATGGATGAAAACCGAAGCCGGTCACAGTTGGCCAACATCAAAGCCAAACACGTGAGTATCCCTTGTTCCTCCATGGCACTGAATGAACCAAGCTGCGGGGCCTCTTCTCCAGTCCCCTGGTGGGGTGCACGTACCATGTTACCCGTCCTTGAATGAGCTGCCAGCCTTGGAAGCCATATATTCACTTGGAAGCTTCGAGGCTGCCACATTCAGTGCCTGGGAATTTGGGAGGGGGCGATTTCATAGTGAGGTGGAAGATTAGACACAACAACATTCTTTCTCAGAGAGTCAAGGACATGTTGCCCTGCACCTGATGGGGAGTGTCTGGAGGGAGGTCTCCAGTCGGGACGAGGATTTGGCTGGGCCATGTGACGGACTGGTGGGTGCAGGGGATGGATCCTGTCCTAGACAGAGAGACCTCCAGGACTTTGTTCACCCCTCTTTGAAAGCCATCCAAGACATCTTCTTTTTTTGATGGTCATGGTAACTAACTAAAGGGCCCAATTTCTCTTTCAGGAAAAATATCTAGCAGACATGGACGAACTCTTCTCCCAAGTGGACGAGAAGCGGAAGGTGAGTTGTATTTATGTGTTGCATTTATTTGAATTTATTTTGCCCCCACATCTCGGATGGATGGATGGATGGAAATCTAATAATGTACTCTTGAGCCATCCTTAGAGAATGAAAACGACGAAGAACCAGCAGTTTAGACGTTTGATGCTGAGTCAGAAATACCCAGTAATACTCTCTTCTTTGGGACTAGAAACGGGACATCCCTGATTACCTGTGTGGGAAGATCAGTTTCGAACTGATGCGGGAGCCTTGCATTACGCCGAGTGGGATCACCTACGACCGGAAGGACATCGAAGAGCACCTCCAGGTAAATGAGGCAGGTTGGCTGCCCTAGAGGAGGAACAGGAATCCCAAGTCCTTCATGGAAGAAGGTCAGGATGAGCCCCAAGGCGGTGAGAATCCCAAATGTGGAGCTGGTTCCGATTAAATATGGACCTCTGACCCACAAGATCTTGTTTCCTTGTCCGCCTTAGCTTGGCTTAAAAGTGAAGAAGCCAGAGAGGCAGCCAATAAATTGTATACATAAAATAAAATAATAAAATAATAATTATATTAAATTATTAAATTAAAATAATAAAACAATTAAATAATTGAAATAAAATAATAAAAAATAATTAAATAATAAAGTGAAATAATACAATAATAAAATAAAATAAAAATAATAAAATAAATTTCAATAAAATAATACAATAAATGATATAATAAAATAAAAATAAATAATTAAAATAAAATAAAAAAAATAAAATAAAATAACAAAATCAAATAATTAAATTAAATCAAATTTAAAAAAATATAAAATAATAAAACAAAATAACAATAGTAACAAAATAAATATAATGAGGTCCTTAAGGATAGGCAGTCTTTTTTGATGGTTTAAGGAAGAGGGTTGGAAGCTGCAGGGGGTGGACTGAGTGACGCAAATGGTCTGAGGCTTTCTGTTCCTAAGGAGTTTTTCCATTTTTCAGTGGAAAATTGAAATCCCATCGATTTACTGATCTCACCTGGGTTTAGAAAAGGGAATCTCAACTTAGGAATTCTAAGATGTATGGACTTCAGCTCCCAGAATTCCCCAGCCAGCATGTTTCACCACCTTGAAACATTCAGTGGAATATTGCGCGGGTCTCTTCCCGGCCTTGCTGTGGTTATTGAGGTTACCTCTAGCCTGAACATAATCTTCCTGTCCCCCGCCTCACAATTGCCTCTTCTCTGTCCTCCCTAGCGGGTCGGCCACTTCGACCCTGTGACTCGAAGCCCGCTGACCCAGGACCAGCTGATCCCAAACCTGGCCATGAAAGAGGTGATCGATGCCTTCATCTCCGAAAACGGCTGGGTGGAAGATTACTGACCTCCGAAGGATGGGAGGGCTCCTCGGGAACCTCCAGCTACTACAGCGACCAAGAAGGACTCCCCACCCTCTGGACCGCGCCAGGCTGCCCGCTGGGCCACCCCCATGCCTTAGCCTCTTCCCCCTTTCTCGCCGTCTTCGTCCGCCCAGCTCGGCTGAGTTGGGGTCGGCTCCCCTTCCCTCCTCTGGCAGGCAGGGGGGTGGGGTAGCTCCGTGGCTGCCGTGGTTCTCCTTCCGGGCAACAAGGAGACCTCGGCCTTCGATCTGGACACGATGGAAGATGTTTCCCATCACAGAAGCTTGAGGAAGCGAGTTCCTTTACCCCGGGCTTCGTAAGGCCCACTTTGTAAGCCCGTCTTGACTTTGGTAGCACACCGTAAACCCTTCCCACATCCATCCAGATCCCTTCACACATACACACACCCTTTGCTCAGCACGCCTTCCTCCCACGCCGTCAGCCCTCACCAAGAACCTGGCCTCTCCATGGAGCAAAGACTGGATCCAGCCCACCCACCCGCCTTCCAGGAGACATCCCCTACCCCAGCCGTTGCTGCTGCTTCTCCTGTACAAAGTTTCCCTTCTCGACCTCTGTTTTCCCTGCCTGTTCCGAAGACCTGGAAGTTTTGCGTCTGCTTCTCTGTAAATAAACGGTCACCGATTTGGGGGCAAAGATCGGGGAGGGGTGAGGAGAGGTGGTTATTATTTCTGTTTTCTCAAAGATAGGAAGGGGGCTGGAATTGGGCGAAACGCTGGCAGCAGATTATATCGAGGGGTGGGAAGAGAGCGGAGCCCTGTGCACAGCGCTCCGTACTGTGTAGTTTGTTTATCTGTTATAATACTCAAAAAAAAAAAGTTTTTTGTTTTCGGGTTGGTTTTGAATTAAACTTCCCCCCCTTCCCCACTTTGATTATCGCAACACAGTTTTGCAGTTTTATTTGGAGCCGCCGATTGGGATTTTTCCCTCTCGGGGAAGACAAATAGAGAAATCAGCTTTATGTTCTTTCTGGAATGTTTGTTTGTTTGTTTGTTTGAGTTCTTTGCAACAGGAGCGATGCTGGTTAAGTGAAATGCTGGAATGGGAAGGGCCAGGAAGCCCAACAAGGCAAAGAAACAGTGATCAGCTGAAGAACATCCTGTTTTTTTTTTAAACATCCATCTATAAGTAGTCCTTGACCACAGTTGAGCCTGGAATTTTATCTTGCTTAAGTGAGAAATCTGTTAAGGGAATGTTGAGATTGGAGAAAAAGTACAGAGAAGAGCAACCAGGATGATGAGGGGACTGGAGGCTAAAACATACAATGAACAGTTGCAGGAACTGGGCCTGGCTAGTCTAGGGAAGAGAAGGACCAGGGGAGACATGATAGCGGTCTTCCAAGATTTGAGGGGCTGCCACAGAGAGGAGGGAAGGGGTCAAGCTGTTCTCCAAGGAACCTGAAGGCCAGACAAGGAATAATGGATGGAAACTGAACAAGGAGAGATTCAACCTGGAAATGAGGAGAAATTTATTGACAGAACAATCACCCCATGGAACAGAAGTTGCCTTCAGAAGTTGTAGAAGCTTCATCCCTGGAAGCTTTCAAGAAGAGACTGGACTGCCATCTGCCAGAAATGGTGTAGAGTCTCCTGATTGGGTAGGGGGTTGGACTAAATGACCTACAAGGTCCCTTCCAACTCTGGTATTTTATATTCAGTAGAACAGCTTGACTTCGGAAGTTGTGGGAGTTCATCATTGGAAGCTTTCAAGAAGAGACTGGACTGCCATCTGTCAAAAATGGTGCAGGGTCTCCCGCTTCGGTGGGGGGTTGGACTAGATGACTTCCAAGGTCCCTTCCAACTCTGATTACCTGTTATCTGTCCCGTTTTACGGCTTTCCTCGCCCTGTTTCTTGAGCGAAGCATTGCCGTTGTTAAATCAGTAACGTGGCACTTCAGCAAATCCAGTTTCCCCCTTAATCTTCGCTCGCCAGAAGATTGCAAAAGCGAGAAATCTCGTAACGCCGAGATGCTGCAGGCGTCACAAATGTGAGTCAGCTGCCAGGCATACAGATGTAAATACGAATGACTCCCGGGGACGCTGCAACGGTCGTGAAGACTGAAATCAGTCATAAGTCAGCTTTTTTCAGTGCCGTTGTACAGCCCCGTGAAGCGGTATTCTACGTCGATGCGCTATCGCTATTTTAAAATTCTTTTGCACGTTCTTATCGCTTCAACAAGTACCGCAAAATGTGGCAGGGCGAAAGGGCCTGTGTGCAACGTGACAGCAGCCCCTTATCTGGGACACGCTGTTCCATTTTTTTTCCCCCTCCGCACTGGGATCAAACCAAATTTAACTTTTTGCAGAGATGGGACTTTTTTCCCTGGCTCACATCCTGCTCTTTATTTTTGGGATGGCATTACTCTGCTCTCCAATTAAGATTCTGGGAGCGGGTGAGAAAGAGAGAAAAAGAACCTGGAAATTACTGTCCTGCGAGGAAACAATTATACAGTGTTTTTTTTTGATCAACTATTCAAATTGCAGCGAAGTGAGCAAGTAGGGAAGATGCCTGGGTGCCCTGTTTGAAAACAAGAAACAAGTTTCTGCTGGCACCTGGACATTATCCTGTCTCCTTTGGAGATCTTGTCTTCCTTTTGCTGGTTAATTTATCTCTGGGCATGTCCAAAAGGCCATTTCCTCACCAGTAAGGAATTTCAGCCCAGTTAGAATATCATGTAGAAAAATAGAATTAACAAAGTTGGAAGGGACCTTAGAGGTCTTCTAACCTAACCCCCTGCTCAATCTCTCTCCAGTCTCCAGAGATGGAGGACCCACAACTTCTGGCACAGGTGGATGGTGAATGGCTCCTCCCATAGGGAATAAAGAGGAGCTAAAGGGGAGGGATGTTTGCAGGAGACCGTTAGTTCGTTTAATTAATGTGAAGATATGTTCGGTACTCTCAAGAGACTCTGCCAGGTATTTTCTTGTACAGCGTTGCGCTTGGCAGCTATCGGCCTGGTACTTCTCCAAGCCTGATAAAGGCCTGTGGTTGTAACTCACTCTTGAAAGGCTGTTTGCCGGGACTTTGCTGGATGTGAATCATAGGAATTCACATTATAGCTTAATAAAAAGGGGTTTTTGTTGGGACGAGGAGTCTTGCTTTGTGATTTTGGGAAGCCTAGGTCAGAACAGTTGGGTTGATAAAATCAGAAATGAGGAGGTGCTAAGACGCCAAGGGAAATCTTCAAAACCATTAAAAAGTGAAAGTTAAGACTATTTCAGACCTGTGATGCGACACAAGGGAAAAATACACCATCCTTCACTTGATCCTCCAAGGAAAAATGGAAGGCAAACAAGGTCCAGGCAGAAGAAGAACTTTGTGGCTTCAAAATCTAAGGGACTGGCTTGGACATAACTCAGCGGCACTTTTTCATGAGGCTGTTGATCAAAATAGTATCGCCAACATGATCTCCAACATCCGATGGTGGATATGGCACAAGAAGAAGAAGGAAAACATTCTAAAGCTGCTTAATGCTAACAGGGATTCTATTATAGATGGTTTTCACCAGTAATGGTCCTACATTCGCTGTCAGCTCCATTCTAGATAATGCTGAGGTGCTGGTGGAGGCAGATGGAGGTCCAGCACCTCTTCCAGAAACCCCAAACAAGCTCAAGAGCAGATGAGGGGTTAGTTTGGCCACCTCTGGAGGACCATCATTCAGAAGCTGGTTCTTTTGTAGATGGCCCTCAAGGTTGATAACGGAGGAGGAAAAAGGCAAGTAGACTACATCGGCTTGGCCTTTGGAAGGAAATCTGACCAAGCTTTGAAGCCTTCAAGACCAATATTTTCGTCATAACAGTGACAGCTTTTCTAATGTAGGGTCTTGGGTATCTGCAGTGAACCTCTGGAACCTGAATCATCATCATCTAACAGTTGCCCTTGCAAGTAGTGTTTGGGAACTGCACATCAAGTTGCTTACATCAAAGCACGAAATCTAAAGAGCTAATTTGATGTAATGGTTAAGGCCATTAGAAACTGGGAGACAAGTGGTTTCTAGTCCTGTGTTCAGCATGAAAAGCCAGGTAGGTGACTGAGCCAATCACTAGGAGTTTTAATCTCGCCATAGGCACGAAAGCTGGCTGGGTGCCTTTGAGCCAATCACCAGGAGTCAATGAGTTCTAGTCCCTCCTTAGACATGAAAACTAACTGGGTGACTTGGCGCCAATCACTAGGAGTCGGTGAGTTCTAGTCTTGCCTTAGACATGAAAACTAACTGGGTGACTTGGTGCCAATCACTAGGAGTTGGTGAGTTCTAGCCCCGCCTTAGACATGAAAACTAACTGGGTGACTTGGTGCCAATCACTAGGGGTTGGTGAGTTCTAGTCTCGCCTTAGACATGAAAACTAACTGAGTGACTTGGCGCCGATCACCAGGAGTCGGTGAGTTCTAGTCCCATTTTAGGCATGAAAGCCAGTTGGGGGATTTGGGGCCAGTCAGTCACTCTCAATTCAGCCTGTCTCCCGTGGTTTTGTTTGTGGAGAAAACAGGAGGAAGGAGGAATATTAAAGTATGCCTGCCATCTTGAGTTGCTTATAAAAAGAAATGCAGGTGAGATATAAATAAGTCAGCAAAATCCCCACAGGAAAAGCCAGAACGAAATGGAACTCTTGACTGAAATACACACTGTGTTTTCAAAATAAAACGTTTATGCTAACATCTGCTCTGGTATTCGACATCAACCAGGAGTATAAATCTGATAGAAACAGAACCAGATTCTGCTGGTTGCGTTTCTATACGTCCAGTTGGCAGTAAAGCTGTTTTGAAAGAGAAAAGAAAGGAATGTAAGTATGTCCTGCCAGAAAAGAAAAGGTGGGGGAGGATGCACAAACAGGTTGCTTCCAGGTGAAACCAGGTGTTTTCGTCCTCCGGTTGCTGACCAACCCCGCATACAAGTCATGCGATTTCCTACCTGCTTTGCAAGGCTGTAATTTTGAGCAGCCTAAATTATTTTGAGTCACCTGGTGGTGTAAATATCCCCAGGGGAGTTGGAAGAGCTGGATGAGTCGCAAGAGACGCAATAATGGTCTTCATCAGGAAGCACCTCTGTGTGCAGAGAGAGAAAGAGAGAGAGAGAAAAAGAAATAAAGAGAGAAAGATATAGTCAGAAAGAGACAGAGAAAGAAAGGGATAGAGATACAGAGAAAGAAAGAAGATTAAAGAAAGAGAGAGAGAGACCAAGCACCATACAGATAGTCCTCGACTATCTAATGTACAGCTATTCGTTTAGTGACCAAAGTTACAACAACATTGAAAAATGAGTTATGGCCATTTTTCACATTTATGATCATTGCAGCCTCCCCAGGGTCGCGTGGTCAAAATTCAGCCATTTGGCAACTGTCTCTCATTTATGACTGTTGCAGAGTCCCTGGCTCACGCGACCCCTTTTTGCGACCTCCTGAAGGCAACATCCATGGGGAAAGCCAGATGAACTTCACAAATGTGTGGCTAACTTAATAACTAAAGGGATTCGCTCCACAACCGCGGCAAACCCAGGTGGTAAAATGGGCCAAAGCTCTCTTCACCAATGCCTCGCTTAGCAGTGTAAATTTGGGGCTCGGTTGGGGTCACAAGTCGAGGACTATCTGTAATTGATGAAGGAAGACCTACGCCCCGCCACCGCCTCACCACCTTCCACAGTGTGGCAAATACACGTCCAGGTAGAAGGATGCTGAGTAGCAAAGTATAATTTAACAAGCATCAATCTTATCCTGCCCCATTTCTAAAAAATATTGGGGGAAGCAGTTGGTCCTGAGATGCTGGCTGAAAGGTTTTACGATGAGATCCCTGAGATGGACCAGGTATGGTCTCACTGACCCTAGAGATGGTGTTACTATGGTCCACCATTACTGATGGTCACCAACTTCA